AAAAAAAAAAAAAAACTTGCTTTCTGTCCTGGGGAAGGGCTGACTGCATTTTTGCTTGTATGCAGGAAAGTGATAACATTAGGTGTAATTACAAAACGGTCTTTGCACGTGCAGATACGGCTTAAAGAAACATGTCTGGCTGTCCAGTTGACAAGGGGTGGATTGTGCCAATTGTCAATTTGGATAACTAAAGCTCAACTAAATTGGTTCAGCATAATTCTTGGCATGGAAGACCTGTCCTAGGGAGGATTATCACAGGGATGATACAAAAGGGAAACAAAGCTAATTATTGGTCTGTGTTGTGCCAGGGGAGCTCCAGTGTTTTCATATTGGATGTCATCTCCTGGCATTCAGGGCACCCCTCCATCTCCAGCATTGGCCATTCAGCCTCCCACAATTGACTTACATGTTACTTTACATTGAACCCTGGACATTTTACTGGAACTTTCCAATCTCCAGTGTACAGACAGCCGTATTGTCCCTCCAGAGTTCTTGCTGGCCAATGGAAGCCAATCTTATAAGTTCTTATATTTATCCTGTGTTATATCTGTTGCTCTATTCACTAGTGCCAACTGTAAGAGGAAGGAACTAGCCTCATGCTTAGGAGAAGCAAGACAGAGAACTGACCTGGTAAGCAGAGCCTCTGTGGGGATCTGCAGTCTGGAGCTGCCTTTACAGTCCTAAGCCTGAGGTCATCCATGAGCAGCAAGCACGTGTCATCCCAGTGCTCTGGTCCCAGTCTCAGAACGGGTAGATCAGGAATTGAAAGCAGAGTTTTCCTGCCACTGCCAGGATGAGCAGGACCCAAGCCTGGCCTGACTGAGTGCATTCTGCAAAAGGCTCAGCACACTTAGGTGTGCATAGTTGTGAGCAGATCTCCTTGGAAGTAAAAAGGCAGATTAGACAGTTGGAAAGTGACCCATGGGGACCATGTAAATTCCCCTATCTCCCAATGCCTTTAAAAAAAAAAACGTAGTACATCAAAGTTTTACTTTTTTAAAAATAATCTTAGGCTCCAAGTTTTGGAAAGAAACATTTGATTAATCTCCACTTGTTTGAGAAGGAGTATTTGCAGGACACAATCAGACGAACTCAAAAGAAGTATGAGGAGGAACAGTGGAACCACCACATACTTCATAACACAATATTTTTTACATATTTCTGTATCAGGAAGAGCTCTTGGTGCATGCCATGTAAGGAATTGATTTCGCGTGGCAGTGAAAACTCCTTTCTTTGCCTATAATGCTGACCACATTTTTGGTAATGTTCTGTACCTTTCTATCGGTCATTACAAGGTTATGATTTACTTGCTATGATGGCATTTCAAGGATCTTGCTCACCAATCCATATTTGGACCAATGAGCTTGGGGGAAAAAGTATGAGGAATTCACATCCATTCCTAGCACCAGGGCCATGTGATACCAAAGGCCCTGCACTTTTTCCTAACAGGTAAGTGAGTCTGTGACCCAGAACAGTGCTGACTCCTCACCCCAGTGGGCACCCACCATGCATGGGCACCAAGCACCACCAGATCTAAACACAGGAAGTTTAGAGTGTGGAAGAGGAGGAAGATTCACCCTGGCAAACAGTGCCTAGGGAACCATCCGAAAAATTCCTGTTGGGATCCTTGGTTCCCAGTCTCCTACTTCTGTCCCCTGGAGACATCATTTCACCTGAATTCACAGCTCAACACCCTCCAGAAAGAATTGGATCAGGACCCCTGTCAGAGAGCCTGCACCTCCCTCTCTACCTGCACTGTGGGGGTGGATCCTAAACTGCTGCTGGCATCTCAGGCTGATACTGACTTTGCCCTGGTAGAGCTCAGCCTCTTTACACCACCAGTGCTGTTCCTTATAAGCTTCCATATTGATGACAATCTTATTTCTAAAATCAGGAACAAGTATCAAAGGAGAAGCAAAATGTACAACTTCACTACTTTATATAACTAAACTGAGACTCCTTCCCAACACAGTAGTCCTCTACTTGGCATGAAGGGAAGTGGGAGATGCCACAAAATGTCACAAGCATAAGTCTCTACCTTCCTCGGTTTTCTGAATGCCTTCTGGAGCCAGACAATTTGGTAAAAGGAGATGCCAAGACATACAGAGGAGGGTCCGTAGCTCTTTAAGAAGAGAGACCAGAAATACGTGCCTCCCTGTCTTCCAGTTTTCTGCCCTGTACCTATCAGGACTCCTTTAACCTTGGTGCTCCAGATCTGACTTCTCTTAAATAAACTGTTCAGAGTTAATATATTTTCCTTGCTATAAAGTGAATATTTTAGGAGCAAAGAGACAAGGGATTGTGATCTGGTGGCATCTGTAAGTTGAAAAACTGCAATGTCACAGGTAGATTTACACTGACCAGTAACTGGAATAACCTGAAACTAAATGACATCATTGAGATGCACTTTAGATCAATGGCAAGAGACGTGATGAGACCGAGGTTCTGCACTGCAACTGCTAGCCCAGCACACACTGGATGGGCCACCTGCACCAGGGTCAAGACCCAAAGACACAGAAAGGCTTCCTGAGGAACTCATGGGCCATTCTCCACTCAGACCTAGCAATACAGAATGAACAGTAATCCCAAGGAAATGAGTGGGAATCTATGATGTAGGAAGGAGAAAGGGACAAAAGTGATGAGGAATTGGGAAAAAAACTACAGAACACTAAGAAATGAGAAATAGTTTCTCAAGATCAGTAGGCAGCGAAGCTCAAATGGAATCTTTATGAGCAAGTCAAACTCCTTTTCATTTACATTACTCACAAGCTTTTCTTGCTAGATAAATTGATGAACGAATTTGTGCAAAGTGATGGTTTTTTAAAAAAGCTTTAAATCAGGAGCTGAGGAGACAGAAGAGCTCTACACTATTCACCACATCTCAGGCTAGGGAAGCAGATGACTGAGCACTGGGATTCTGTCTCAGGAGGGGAACCTGCCACCCAGGGATATAGTCCCTGTGCCAATTACTGGGAACAGACTTGCTAAAACAGGGCATCAAGCAGAGAAATGTTAGGGTCTCAGATCATCACAGGCAGTGGAGAGCACAATGCTTTCCCAGAAAGAGATGACCAAGTCAGTTTCCACAGCGAGCACTGGTCCCTTGCACCCAGCAAGGTGCCCCTAGCAACAGTTCAGGACAACTCATTGCATGCACCCCCAGTGGGTAATTCAGAACCCTGTGCCTCCCCTTGGGGGTCACACATACTAGGGAGATAGCCTGATGTCACTTACACTTCAGCAGAGCGAAATAAATCAGAACTCACCCATTCCAGAGGGGGCTGCAGAGTCTGTAGCTACACCGTGTTCTAGGCCCAACTGAACTTGTCCTCTCAGAGTCCCTGTCACCATCAGTGATTCACCATGAAAACAGTAGGTGTATGTGTGGGGCTAAAATCGTAGATGAACCCAATAAGAGACTTTAATACACAGAGCAACATTCTTCAGTTTTCTCAACTGGAGACTATTATGTGCTGAAATCTGTGGCCACTTTTCCTGTAGGATTCCCATTCAGATCTGCTCATGTGTATTTGCACATTAATTCCACATCAGGACATGGCCATGTTTAAACAAAGGGAAGCAGGGGGCTTCACACATTGAACCTGTCTCCATCACTGTAGGAAAGAGCTGGTTCCAGAACACGTTGGAGCAGATAACAGGATGGATAGTTGGGATCAGTGCCACTGTCAGCCCCCCTGGGCATTCAGGGAAACAGCATTAACAACAAAGCAGACAGAAGAAAATTTGTCTGTACCACGTGGGCCAACTCAGTCTCCCCCAAGGTTGTACATTCTAGACCAGACAGGATGGCCCATTTCCTGATTAGTATTTGTGCTCAGTATTGAAATGCATCCTAATGAGGAGGAACCAGTGGCCTTCTGAAGTGTCCACATTGGTTAGTGGAGTTATGATCCCTGCAGATCTTCCCACCCATGGGCTGAGCCCTTCTGGACTACATGAAAGGTAAGGAGGGCTGGGCAGGGGCACAGATTCTTAGTCTCACCTTTCAGGCAACAACTCTAAGTGTTTGAAGTCAACTGGGGAGAAGGCCACATCCAGAGTCTCACAGTCTCCTGTCCCTGTCTGTGTGTTCCAGACTGATTGTGGGATAAAACTGGAGACCACTATTGGTGCTGCTGTGTCTGCCTCATGTGTCTCATCTTCTGACCCAGAGCTGCTCACTAAGGGTTAATGAAGCCAGGCTCATTGGACAGCTGCCTCCACACCACACCAGCCAGCCAAAGACTGCGATGATCCTGCAAACTCCAGGCTTCATTCTAGGACCACGGGAAAAGGACTTGCTCCTCATACTATGACATAATCAAGAAGGCATAGATCCTGAGCATCCTGTAGCTGGTAGGCATGATGCCCACATTAATCCCCATCTTACCTCTGCTCTTGACACTGAAATAAGCCTCTGGGCTGTGAGAACTCAAAGGTGTATACCCTGGAAGGAGAAAGGCAAGAACAGGAATCTTACTGTGACTCCTGAGTAGCAAAAACACTTCCAGATTAATTACTTTAAAAAGTCTAGAGGCTTCCAGGTGCAGTGAAGTGGAGAGATGGGTTTGAGGCCTCTGCATCTGCCTCCCCATCCCTGCTGCACTTTGAGAATGGTGGAGCTTCCAAAGGGTGGGCAGGCCCATGCTATCCCCTGAGCCCAGCCTGTTTGGGACCCCCACACCTCACCATAGGTGTGCTGGGCGGATCTGGGGTGCCTGCATTGGCCTCCCCGTGTGTGTGGAGGACTGTGGAGGTGTCAGCGGGCATGGGAGAGTTGCAGGTTCCAGGGGCATCGCGGCCTGTGATGAGTGTTCAGTGCACTCTGCCCAAAGCCCACACTGTTCCGGACCCTCCAGGATTCCGCGTGCAGTGAAGTGGAGAGGTGGGTTTGAGGCCTCTGCATCTGCCTCCACATCCCGGCTGTGCTTGGAGAGCTGTGGAGCTTCCAAAGGGCAGGTGGGTATACAGCGCCACAGGGAACGAAAGACATAACTGTGTTTGGATCAGCTCTCAATATTTATTGTATACAGCGAAGCTGGATCTGACAAGATCCGCCAACCTCAAGTTTCTTCCTCTTCTGCCCGTTGGGGGCAGAAACACACACTTATATAGGATCTGAGTAACCAATCAATACGAAGCAGAAGTCGCATGCTGATAGGCCACAGTCACTGGTAGCTAGGTAGACACTCATTTTGGCAGGGTTGTTTGCATGGCAACAGGGACCCGGAAGCAGGAAACGGGCGCCATCTTAGGGGAGCGGCTCGAGCAACCCCCAACAGGTGGGCACACAGTGTCCCTGAGGCCGAGCTTGTCTGGAACTGCAGAGTTCTGAGCAGGCAGAGGAGGGCTGTTGGTTCTGCGGGCCCAGTGGCTTGGGGTGGCGGAGTGCCAGAGTCTCAGGAGCTGCAAATATAGAGGGGGATATCCAACAGACCCTGAGGAAGCTTTCAAATAACACTTGAAACACAGAAATATAGGAAAATGACAAAAAGAAAGACCAAATTACAACCTCAAACCTCCAGCCCATCTCAAGAAACCCTAAAGCAATGTATAAAGAAGAAAATATATGCCATTCACCTCAAATATCAGACACAATAGCTACTGAAATTAACAAGCAACTCCAGGAAGCTTTAAAGAAATTCAAACTCAAAATAATCTCCCAGGTAAAAGAAGAAATGATAAAAGAAATGGAAGAGATTCTGAATATATCTAAAGAAAACACAGATAAAAAATTGCAGGAACTAAAAAAAAAAAGATAGAATCCCTACACGAGCAATATAAGAAACAAACAATACATAATGCAGATGCACAGAGATATACAGGAAATAAAAAACTCCACTGAAAGTTGTAAAAACCGCCTTAGTGAAAGTGAAGATAGAATTTCAGACCTTGAAGACAGAATTGCAGGTAGTGAACAGGAAAGGAAAGAACTTTTAAAATAACAAGGAATCAGGAAACAACAATTCAACAACTGCAAGATGATGCAAAGAAAAATAACATAAGAATGATAGGGATTAATGAAAAAGAAGGAGACCACATAAAGGATTTCAAGAGGATATTTAGAGAAGTAATAGATGAAAATTACCCAAACATAGATCAGAAACCGACATCAGGATCAGTGAAGCATATAGAACTCCAAATAGTCATAACCAAAATAAAACTACACCCAGACATATAATAATCACCATCCCAGAAATCCAACACAAGAATAGATTATTAAAAGCTGTCAGAGAGAAAAGACAGAGCAGTTATAAAGGAAAACCTATCAGAATCACAGCAGACTTCTCAGCTCAAAAATAAAGTCAAGAAGAGCATGAAGTATTCCAGATCCTAAAGCAAAATTATTTCCAACCTAGACTGATGTATCCTGCAAAACTATCATTCAAAATTGATGGTGAAATATGATACTTCCATGACAAAGAGCAGCCGAAGAACTTCATGAACACCAAACCAACCCTGCAAAAAATATTGAAAGACAGTTTAGATACACAAAGGAAAAAACCATTAAGCAAAGTAGATAATTAAACAGAACAGAAAGATAAAGATGCAATGGAGTGAAGTATTTCAGACCCTAAAGGAAAATGATTTCCAATCTAGACTGATGTACCCTGAAAAACTGTCCTTCAAAATTGATGGAGAATTAAAATACTTCCACGACAAAGAACAGCTGAAGAAATTCATGATCACCAAGCCAATCCTGCAAAGAATACTGAAAGACAGTCTAGATACACTTAAGAAAAAACCACTTAACAAAGCAGATGATTAAATAGAACAAAAAGATAAAGATGCAACAGTAGAAATATAGCATGTCACCAATAAACCAATATATAACAGTTATAACCATTAATGTAAATGGTCTCAATGCACTAATTAAAAGAAATAGACTGGCAGAATGGATCAAGAAACAAAATCCACCCATATGCTGTCTACAAGAAACCCATCTAACCCAAAAGGATACTCACAGACCGAAAGTCAAAGGATGGAAAACAATACTTCATGCAACAGGAACCCAAAAAAAGCAAGGGTAGCTATTCTGTTTGCAGACAATGTGAACTTCAAACCAATAATGATTAGAAGAGATAAAGCAGGTCACTACATACTGTTTACAGGAAAACTTCAAGAGAAAGAAATTAATATTTTAAATATATATGCACCAAATTCCAAAGCACCCAGTTATATAAGTAATATCAGAAATGAAAAACCAAATTAGCAGTAGTACAATTATAACTGGAGATTTTAACACACCATTGACACCAATGGATAGATCAACAGGACAGAAAATCATCAAAGAAATAAAAGACCTGAATCACACCTGTGAACAAATGGAATTGATAGACATATACAGAGTCCATGTCTCCATAAACAATAACAGAATACACTTTTTTCTCAGCAGTACATGGGTCATTCTCTAAAATAGACCATATATTAACACATGGAACATATTTAAAGAAATGTAAAAGAGTTGAAATCATCCCCTGCATGTTATCATATCATAGCACTATGAAATTAGTAATTAATGATAAAAGATACTGCAAAAATCCCATAAACACATGGAAACTGAATAACACACTCTTGAGTAATCAGTGGGTCACAGAGGAAATTAAAGAAGAAATTAAACAATACCTACAAACCAATGAAAACACAAATACAACCAAAACCTGAGAAAGATCCAACTAAAAAGAAAACTACAGACTGATCTCCCTAATGAACACAGATGCAAAAATCCTCAATAAAATATTGGCAAATAAGATGCAGCAAATCATCAAGAAGATTACACACCATGACCAAGTAGGATTCATCCCAGGAATGCAAGAATGGTTAAACATACGTAAATCAATAAATGTAATCCACCGTATCAATAAAGCCAAAAGTAAGAATCGCATGACCATTTCTATAGATGCAGAAAAAGCCTTCGATAAGGTCCAACATTCATTCATGATAAGAACTTTACAGAAAATTGGAATAGATGGTCTTTACCTCAATATAATAAGGGCCATCTATGACAAACCAACAGCCAGCATCATACTAAACGGCCACAAGTTGAAAGCCTTTACTTTAAAATCAGGCACAAGAGAAGCATGTCCTTTGTCACCAGTCCTATTTAATATAGAACTGGAAGTACTAGCCAGAGCAATTAGGCAAGAGAGAGAAATAAAAGGGGTAAAGATAGGAAAAGAAGAAGTTAAATTATCATTGTTTGCAGATGACATGATACTCTACATAGAAGACCCCCTAAACTCCATTGAAAGACTCTTAGATACAATAAATAAATTCAGTAATGTGGCTGGATACAAAATCAATACTCAGAAATCAATAGCATTTCTATACACGAAAAACAAAATCACAGAGACAGAAATCATAGAAACTGGACTATTCACATTAGCAAGCAAAAAAAATGCAATAGTAGGAATTACTCTTATGAAAGAAGTGAAAGATCTATAAAGGGAAAATTATAATACACTGAAAAAAGAAACTGAAGATGATCTCAGAAAATGGAAAGACATCCCTTGCCCATGGATAGGAAAAACAAACATTGTAAAAATGGCCATTCTCCCAAAACTGTTATACAGATTCAATGCAATCCCAATAAAAATACCATCAACATACCTTATAGATCCAAAGAAATCACTCCTGAAATTCATCTGGAACGAGAAGAGACCTAGAATAGCAAAGGCAATTCTAAGCAGGAGGCATCACAATCCCTGACTTGAAGTTATACTACAAAGCAACAGTAGTAAAATCAACATGGTATTGGAACCAAAACAGAGCTGAAGATCAATGGGATAGATTAGAAGATACAACCGCAACTACAAACACGTTCAACCACCTTATCTTTGATAAAGGAGCCAAGCAGGTTCACTGGAAGAACGACAGTCTCTTTAATAAATGGTGCTGGAAATACTGGCTCTCCATTTGCTGAAAACTAAAGCTAGACCCATGTCTGTCACCATGTACTAAATTAAAATCTAAATGGGCCAAAGATCTGAATATTAAAAGAGAAACGCTAAATCTGTTGGAACATAAGTTGGCTAGAAACCTTGAAGACATAGGAGTAGGTAGAGAATTCCTGAACAGGACTCAAACCGCACGGGAAATACTTCCCAGAATCAATAACGGGGACCACTTCTTATTAAAAAGTTTCTGCATGTCAAAAGAAATCTCCAGCATTCTGAAAAGAAAACCCACAAACTGGGAAAAGATTTTAGTGAACTCTCTCTCAGACAAGGGACTCTTGTCTAAAACATATAAAGAATTAAAAAAAAAAAAAAACCTCAGAACCCCACAATTCAAATTCCCAATCCAAAAATAGGCATCTGAGATGAATAGGCACTTCTCAGATGAAGAAATACAAATGGAAAATATACACATGAAAAAATGTTCATCATCATTTGGCATTAGAGAAATGCAAATTAAAACCACACTGAGATTCCATCTCACTCCTGAACGAATGGCCAGGATTAAGAAAACCAACAACAACAAATGCTGGAGACCCTGTGGGGGAAAAGGAACTCTCCTACACTGTTGGTGGGAGTGTAGACTGTTACAACTTTTGTGGAGGTCAGTCTGGAGATTACTCAAAAAGCTGAGATTGGAAGTCCCTTTTATTCCAGATATTCCACTTCTAGCCATATTCCCAGAAGAACTGAAAGCATCATACCACAGTGATATATGTGCACCTATGTTTATAGCAGCACAATTTGTAATCGCCAGATCTTGGAAACAACCCAAGTGTCCATCAACTGAGGAATGGATAAAAAAGTCATGGTATTTCTATACAATGGAGTATTACTCAGCTATAAAGAAGGATCACATTGAGATATTTATCAATAAATGGGCACAGCTTGAGAACATCCTCAGAAGTGAAATAAATTAATCTCACATGTGCGAACACCAAATAGTTTCCCTAATGTAAGTAATGATTCAACTATATATAAGTATGTGGTAATCATGATTCCCCATTATGTGGCCTTGAAGCCTTATAAAGTTTTCACTTATTAATTGGAAAGGTTTTATTCAGGGCTTCTTGATATGGAAATATTTGAAGCTATAGTATATGAAGTTTTATTCAAATATTTCAAGGAAAAAGACACTATGGTAACTACTATTCAGTCGGGTTATTTGGTGGTGAAACACTTGGTTGCTGAAACAGTCATGCTTAGACCTGTATTGTTATATTGTTATGTCCTCTTTTATCTCAATCTCTCCCTTATTCATTAAAAAATTTAGTTAATTTTTATGGTTTTTTTAATTAAGGGGAAAAATTAAAAAAATTTAGTAGGATATATAATAGTAACTTTTTTGGATTTCCCATTAACGTGTTTTGAAGTCCTGTAATACTCTCACTATCTTGTTTTGATTGATTAGACTCTGTCCCATTCTGTATGATAGTATCAAGTTTGAGGGTATATGCAGCTGCTTTGAAGGCAATAAGATTCACTAAGATGCCCATTCTGGTTTGACTATTGTCTCCTTTGGAAGTCCTGTAATGTTTACAATGCTTAAGTTTTATTGGTCTTGTTCTCTATTGTTTTGTTCAACTTTATAATACCTAATGATATAGACAATTCTTTTTAAGGAAACAAGAGACGTTATGGTAAGCATTGTTGATAACCTTGTACTCTATTCTTACATCATGTGCTATGTCTCTCGTTGGTTTTGACTGACAGCTTTGTTTTGCCATATTTGACTTTATTCTCTCCCCCCCCAAAAGTAATAAGAACTAAGGAGTAGTAAAACCCAAAATTTGTAAATTTTGTTGCAAAAAAGACAGGGAAATAAAGTAATCTAAAGGATACAACAGCAAGTGTGTTTAGGGGTGTTAAATTGCTGACCATATTAATGTTTTTGGTTGGATCATTGAACACAACTGTTTGCATTCTCACTGTTTGAATGTCCACTTTGTATGCTTTGATAATGTCACTTGAGCAAATATCTCTAAGATGATAATATGTAATCTATTCACTGGTGATTTCTTACATTTTTTTTTATTTTGGTAGTACTGTATTACTTGTACCCTTACACCGCTTTGTTTTTTCTCTTTTTCCTTTTAAACAAAATAAAATAATTAAAAAATGACTTAGTGTGTACAGCAGGGGCCCATGGAAGCTATGGGAGACACAGCATTTTCCATGTGTTTCTCCACAGAGCTCGGAAAGCATGCTATATAGTACCATGATCATTACGGCTTACAGTGAAATTCCCTTTGTCTCAATGTGTTCCTTTTGTTAGAATTCTGAGTGCATTTCTATTTCCCTACCAGAATTTACTATGTTTTCACAAGATCCCTAATTCTAGGGCCTGCAAGGAACAAGGATAGTTGGTGATTTTTCTCCTTCTGCTGTCACAGGGTAGTAGCTGAGTGAGCTCAAGTCCGACATGCCGAGTTTATGCTAGATCCATCTCCAGTGACCTCACCAGCTTTGGGATCAAAGTGAAAACTAAGACCAGGCTGACTTGAGGAATTCTAGAACTCAGGCTTTTACTGGCTCCACAGCAAGCATCCTGAGCTCCAGTTAGGGCCCATCCTGCAAAGCACCTGCCTTTCCTTACTCCTCTCCTTGTACACCTTGTATTATTTTCAGTTTACATTTCGACTCCTAAGTCTCTAATTCTTCTAGACATTAACTTCTAGTACAATTTACCTTAAAAGTTAAGATACCATTAGTTTCACTATGTTCAATTCAGTAGCATATAAGTACAACATCTATTTGTACAATTTCCACATCTGTTGATTTCCAGCTCTCTGCTCAGTACTGGAATTACCCATACCCATGTCCTCTCCTGCTATACCCCACCCACCTCTGACCTTTTTCTGACTGTGATTTAGTACTCTGGGTTTTTAATAATCATTTATCAGATGATGTTCAGTCAAATTTTACTGAAAGACACTGGCTGATGTTGCTCTTTGATAGAAGACAAAACCCCAGGTAGACAATTCTGTCAGGAAAGTGTTGAGAGCATTTTGTATCTACTCATCTTTTCATGTTGGAAAAGTGTTCCCATGACTTCAATGATAGAAGGGAGCTAGAGAGGTCTGATTCATTGCATTTGAAAAACAGAAAAAAGAATAATGTAGAAACTATAACAAGAAACCTTTCCTTACTAGCCATAGTCAGACAGATGGTTTGTGATACAGGTGTAAAAGAGGTGTCATGAATCCATTCTGTAAGAGATGAAAAATTCTTATAAATCAAAAGAGAATCACCACAGGTGGCCAACAAGGGCAGAAAACACTGAGCCTCCAAAGGTGATTCATTCAGGCACACATGCCTCATAGGTGCTATGTCTCCATCTGATGGCAGGTTTAAAGGCAGGTGCTGAACAACACTGGGGAGAACAAGGGGGGCAGAGCAGAGCCCCTTCTCACAGCTCCCATCAGAGCACTACACAAGTGTCCCTGGACCTGGGAGGGTTAAAATAGAGGTTTATGACTTACAGAGAGCTGCACAACTTTGCGAGATTTCTTTTCAGGAGTTTGATTCACAGCTGTTTGAAGCAGGAAGGAAATGGGACCACCCCTATCTTCCACATAAAGGGTGTGGGGCATCAGTGTGGGCCACAGGAAGCAGGGAAAGCTGGGGGGATGCTAAGGTTGTTCCCTCTGGGTCCACAGGAAAAGAAGCCATGGAATCTGATCGTGAAGTAATACATGAATGTGAGAACAAGGATCTCAGTTTTCAAAGTGAAATGTCTCTGACATTATGGGATTCTGTCCTATATCTTGGATCTCCCAAACTAGTTTATGGTGGAGGTTAAATAAAAAGTGAGAAATTATATGATTTGTAGGGCTCCACTGTGAGGGTAAAGACAAAGGATTCTCTGTGTCAGTCCACTTATATTAGGACCAAAAACAAAGGGCAGAGAAACTGAGGAAAGTACAAGCAATGAGCAGGACCTTGGGAGTCACTTCAAGGATGTCTCCAAGTAATGAATCAAGTCAATTCAGTAGCACCGTCTTATGAAGACATGGTGGAAGTGAGACTGTTGGAGTAATCTTTGCAGCTGCAGTCTCTACCTAGTTAATTGGGGTTGGAGCCAGACTGTCCACAGCTGTGGCCTTATCTTACCTTTTGAGGTATCTCTGGCCTCACAAGCCACTACAAGCCTCAGTCAGGACCTGTGATTCATAGAGGTTCACTTACTATGAATCAGCTCCCGTCTCCAGGCAAGGGGTCTGGGCCTAGGACAGATTCACAGCTAAACATAGAAAGCCAATTAGTAAAATTTAAATCCTGCTCAGAGCCGCTTCACCTCCTAGTAGTTTCCAATATGAAATCAAGGTGCATCCACACATAGACAGGTAAGAATCTATGTCCAAGAATGGTGTCTCAGCACTGTAGTTCCTAGTGGTGACCCTGGCTCAAAATATAAAAGAATTTTAAAAACAGAAGTTAGTCTAGTTCAGTGCAAGGCCCTTATCACAATTTATGTCTGTGGCCCCCAGGCCTCATGCGTTTATATTATGCATTTGTGACTGGTTCATTGTTTATCCCTTGAACTGGGGGTGTGAGTGCTACACTGACCTAGAGGTGGAGCCAGGATGTGATGTAATGGCAGAAAAAAGGCCTGTCTTGCTCTTTTGCCTGTTTCCTCCTTGCTGTTTGCAGCAGCCATAAACTGTGGCCCTACCATGCCAGCCTGCCTTGGAGCCAACTGAGTATGGACTGATACCTCCAAAAACTGTAAGAAATAATCCTTTCATTTGCCAACATTTGGCATCAGATATGTTGTCTCTGCAACCAGG